TCTCTTTTCGATTCAGAAGAAATCGCCGTTTCAGCATTTAGCAATCGTTTCAGGTTGAAATATTTCATTTCATCGTTTCATCGTTTCATCTCCAGATTGCAATCGCGTCTCAAAATCATTTCATTATTTCAGGTTGCAAGGAATCGCTTCTCAAAATCGCTCCAGGTTGCAATCTCTTCTCAAAATCGTTTCAGGTTGAAATCTTTTCATCATATTTCTTTTCAAAATCGTGTTTCGATTCTTCATTTCAATTCTTCATTTTGATTCATCCGTTAGATACTGATTGCTCCAATTTTGATTTTGTGTTTTGCAATGATCACTTTTTTCTAAATTGCTCTGCTGTTTTGCTATGAATTTGTGAATTTAGATTTAGTAGTTAATTAGCCCTAATTCCTAACCTAATCTATTTTTATGTTAATTCAGTAGTTAATTATCCCTAATTCAGTACTGCCAAGACTATCACTCAAAGTCATAGAACCATGCACATTTATATAACTTTTGGTATCAAATTTGAATTAACTCGCTTGAAAAATGGTTTGTGTGAAATTGAGTTTTACAATCGGTTTGTGTAAAATGGTATCAAATATGAATTAAATCACTTGCATAATTTGTCGCAGGTCCACAATCGATTGCTCCACCACTGTGTTTCTCTTCTTCTAAAGCCAATTTCAAGGTAAAATCATTATATCTCTTTCTTATATCGTAATTTACAACTATAAACATCATGAGGATTTTGAAAATCATGATTTGGTTAAGCTTAGATTGTGTATAAGGGGTAGTATCATACCAAGCATCATGATTTGGTTTTGAATGTGGATTAAGTGAAGTTTGGATAATTACGGTTTCGATTTGGTTTGATTTAGTTTGCGATTTCCTATTAGGTCAGTTCAATTTTGAACACCCTTCCTCCTTCTCCTCTGCGGGGAATATGATCTATGACCCCCTTATACCAGGTGTTATATAGTTGACCTCATTTTTAGTTTTTTTAAACATATAGAAACTCTCCCTCCTTCATGTCTGCCCAAATTTGTTTAATTAGTAGGATGTCATTTGGTACGACCTCCTTTAAATTATTATCCTTTCTTCCACCCCTATCTAGTACAAGTTCATGTTTTTCTTCTTTAAAAACCAAGTTTATTAAAGGGGAATAAGAAATACCATTTAAGAACACCAAAACCAATACACTTTCACCTACTGTAATGATAGTACCTCTATCCCAAACCAATAACAACATCAATCCACCCAACATGAATCAAAACAACAACAATCCCACTTTAAGCACCAGCCCCTAACCATGCTGCATCTCCAACACGCATTGTTATAGGTCCCTCATTGGTTCCCTGTTGAGTGCCCACTGAAGACTTAAAGATGCCTCATTAAACATAAGTTTTCCCTCACTGAATTGGTTCCCTGTTGAGTGAAAACTTAAAGATGCAAGGAAATTAACTCAGTCCAGTTAGAGATTAATGAAGCAGAAATTTGACCAGAAAAGGAATTATCTGATAATCCTAGATCTGAAAGTTTGGTCAAATTTTCTAATGACAAAGGCAAATAACCTGTTAGATTATTTCGTGCTAATCTCAAGAAACTTAGATTTGTGCATAGGCCAAGCTCAGAAGGGACTTTAGAGTTTAAAAAATTAACACTGAGATCAAGATGCACTAGCTCCTTTTGTTGACCTATGGAAGAAGGAATTTCCCCATGGACTGAAATGGTGTTCAGTTTAAGAATTTGAAGCCTGGACATTAATCCCATCTTTGATGGAATAAGACTATTAAACATGTTATTACTGAGACGAAGATCTTTGAGATTTGAGAGCATGGACAAGTTGGATGACAATTTTCCTTCTAGCCCACAGTTTGTGAGGTCGAGATATTCAAGTTTGCCCAAATTATCGTACATGGATTCTGGTATTGTACCATTCCATTTGTTCTGAGAGAGGTCAAGGTATGTTAAGTTCTTGCACTCAAATATGAAACTTAAAATGTCACCAGTGAATTTATTTAGTTCCAAACTAAGGTAATTTAAGGAAGGCATGTTTAAATATAGAGACCAGTCAAGGGAAGATACAAAATAGTTGTATCCAAAGTCAAGGTAACTTACCTTGGGGAGAGTTGTGAGCTGATAGGGAATGGTACCATTGAGACTGTTGTTGAAAAAACTAACATGTTGAAGTTCCCTTAGCTAGACTATCTCAGAAAGGAGTGTGCCTTCAAGAGAGTTGTTTCCCAAGTCCAAGAAACTGAGTTTGGAGAAGCTGCCAATTGTTGATGGTATTGATCCACGAAACCTATTTCCATTGAGGTTGAGGAGGGTAAGGTTTGGAAGAGAATTAAAATCCAAGTCAACAAGTTTTCCGCTGCTATTGGCATTAGACAAGTTTATCTTTGAGACAATTGTATTTGTGTTATCACAAACGACATCATCCAAGTGCAAAGGTTGATATGGTTGGTGAGTAACCATGAAGGAAGAGGAGGTGATAGACTCCATTTGACAAGAGCTTATGCTTCTATTCTTAGTGATCCTGAAATTTTCAATGGAAGCAAAGACATAAGCAGTATATAAAACAGAAAACCAATAGCTTTTTGATGATTTGTCATGTCTATATGTAACATGACCTTTTATGTTAATATTTTAGTATAATGATTAGCTTGAGAATGTTGTTGAGGGAATTATCACCAAATTTAATCCAAATTATTATTTACTTTTTTATTATTCCCTTTCAATATATCGTATGTAGTTAGTATATGATTCAATGCATGTAGTTGGGTTTTCATGTGAAAATGGCGGAGAAGTAGCAGATTTACGAGTACTAGGTTTTTTGCCAACTTATGTGTTTGATAAAATGCTTTATCCAATTTCTACTCTATAAGGTTTAATTAGTAGCTTGGTGAATATTTTGTTTTCAGTGGTAATTGCTCTATACCCTGTAGTTGGTGGTGTTGGTTTTTCTATTAAGGGTATAAACTTTACCTTTTGTTTTGGTCACTAGTTAATGATGTGGACCTGTATTGGATAACAATAATTTATGTTTAACTATACTTTTTGAAATAGCGTTGATTTTAATTTCAATCACAACTGAATACTATTCAAAGATTATCCAAATCCCAGTTACAAGACATTACGATGATTTTTCATTTTTTTGAAAATATATCTCCCAAACTATAGTTATCAAGATTAATAACATAATAAACATCGGCAGGTATAAGTAGGGGTGAGTATAAAGTGCTTATAGACTTGCTCATTTTCATGAAATTAGGTAGATAGTTACTGCTTATGTTTGTATTTAGACGCTTAGTTGGAAGAATTTTCTTACAAAGTGATTTTTCTATCCAACAACACCACTCACTATTCTTACAAAGCACTTCTTTCACCACCTTTTTTGTAGCTTAATTGTTGGTATTGTTTTTGTTAAATGAAATGTGAAATTAATGGTGTTACTACATTTTGTGTAAACAGAGTATTGAAGTTTTTGTGTGTTTGGTGTGTAGATTCATAAGGATAAAGAGAGTGGGAATATTTTGAACTTGCTGTTTAGTAATTTAAGATCCTGCTTGCTTCTAACGGGTAAGATTTCCTTGCTTTGTACTTGCTGTTATTGATATGAAGTTGATATGTCAGTTATGATTTGAGTTATATGATTAAGCTATGTTAAATTTCCAAATGTAAACTATGTGTATATTTTATGTGGCTTTATATGGATTTGTTTTTGAAATAGTGATTTTGAGTTCATCAAATGGTAAATGGAAATAGAAAAAAGTCTTTTAATGTATGAGGAATTATTGAACTCATAAATGACACCAAACAAATCCACTAATTTAAAAAGTATCATGGAGAAGATACTCAAAATGTAGACTTTGATGGTCATTCTAGTAGTGGAAGAAATGATGGTGGGGATAATCAGGGTGATGAAGAACAATTGGATGCAATGAATGAAATGGTATATGATACTAGGAGGCAATTTGTTAATGTTCCCAATGGGAATGCTAATATGGAAAACGAAACAATTAGTGAGGGCGAGGTACCAAGTGAAGAAGCTCAACAATTTTATGATGTATTAACCTCTGCAAAGCAACCCATTTATGAGGGAGCTTCTGAATCCAGACTATCTATTTCAGTTAAGTTGTTGGCTGCCATGTCCAATTGGCATGATCCTCAAAAGGCCATGTATTTTTTCACTCAAATGCTTATTGATGTTTGTCCAACAAATCAATGATTACTTGAAAATTATTACCAAGTGAAGAAGTTGGTGTCTAAGTTGGGATTGGAGGTTGAGAAAATTGATTGTTGTGTGAATGGATGCTTATTATATTATAAAGAAGATAGCACTTTAACTCAGTGTAGAGTTTGTGGGGCTGCTAGGTATGTTCCTCGAAAGAGTGGAATGGGAAAATACAAAGATGTCGCAGTGAAGAGAATGTTCTATTTTCCAATCATTCCTAGGTTACAATGACTTTATGCTTCAAAGGAATCTGCAGCTAAAATGAGATGGCATCGTGAGACCACAAGTAATCCAAATGATCTGCGTCACCCATCTGATGGAGAGGCATGGAAATACTTTGATGAAGTTTATCCCGATTATGCTAGTGACCCAAGAAATGTAAGATTGGGTTTATGTACTAATGGGTTTATACCTTACATTCAAGCCTCTAGTTCTCCTTATTCATGTTGGCCGATAATAGTTACACCATACAATCTCCCTGCCGAAATGTGCATGACCAAACCATACATGTTTTTGACTTGTCTTGTACCTGGACTGTACAACCCAAAAGTTAAAATAGATGTCTACTTGTAACCTTTGATTGATGATTTGTTACGCTTGTGGAGAGATGGCATTGCGATATATGATATCTCTATGAAGCATAATTTTGTAAGGAGAGCTCATTTAATGTGGACAATTAATGATTTTCTGGCATATGGTATGTTGTCTGGATGGGGGACACAAGGTAAATTAGCATGCCCTTATTGTATGGAGAGTACATAGGCTTTCACATTAGGATATGGGGGAAAACAATGTTGGTTTGATTGTCATCGTCGGTTTTTACCAATGGATCATCCGTTTAAAAAAAAGTAAAAAGAGATTTAAAAAAAACATGATTAAGAAAAAAAGGCCACCTTACATGTTTACCGGCCATGATCTCTGGGAAGCTGTCCGTGATTTTCCAAAAGTCACAGATAGTGGTTGGGCCACCAAATTTCCAGGGTATGGAAAACAACATAATTGGATTAAAAGAAGTATATTTTGGGATCTTCCATACTGGAAGGAAAACTTGTTAAGGAACAACCTTGATGTGATGCACATAGAGAATAATGTATTTGATAATGTGTTTAACACAGTCATGAATGATCCTGCAAAAACAAAGGATAATGAGAAGGCAATATTGGATTTCTAGCATGCGTCAAAGAACACAAGCTCCTCCACCGCCTCATACCAGCGCAACACCACCACTGCCTCATACCACCACAGCACCACCACCGCCTCATACAACAGCAACACCTTCCCCGCGTCTTACAACCCCAACACCTCCACTGCCTCAGACAATCGAAGCAGCATCACAGCCTCAGATAGCCGACACATCACCGACATTTGAGGAATCCACATTTGTTCCTACCCCTGGAGTGACACATCATGTTTTGCAAAGTCCAGTTGTCAATCACACCACGATAGCAGGGGAGGAAGAGGAGAGGGACCAAATTGTTTCTGATGAGGAAGAGGAGGCCGCAGAACAAGAATTTGCTGATGGGTAAAGGCCGATGATTAGCATTGTGGGAAACGGGTAAAAAATTTAGTTACGCACACTTTTTGATACATAAAGCATGGAGTTAAAAATCCTTTTTTGTGGTCCAAATTTGATGTTTTTTAGTGTAAAACACTTAGATAATCTCTGCAACACTTAGATTTTACTTCTTATTCAAGTATGAGAACAAGTCTATAACATTATAACATAGTACATTCACCAAATAAATGTCTAATACAAATATACTACTAATAAAATAATGCATTTACATAAGTTTACATAATACTATGTTCACATGATCTTTGTTCTAATTGTTTGGTAAACTTGATATTTGCTTTGTAGGTTGACTCCAAGCAGCATTGTTGCTGAAGCTATTAGAAATTTTTTAATAAAACTTTATAAAGGAAATTTATTGCAGTATAGTGAGCTTAAACTTGAGAATAGAAGAGAAGAGAGACATGCATACTTTGATTTGTTTAAAGTAAGACATGTAATTTCCTTTTTACTAGAGTATGATGTTAACGTATATTTTTTACAGTTTAATCAACAATATTTCTATTTTGACAGTCTTTTGTGCAATGGGAGCCGCGTGCTGACGCCAAAATACAAGATTTGTTTCATAAAGCTTATGGTAAAAGAATATCTGATATATTTGGTAAGATTAGGAAAAGGGGGGAAAACCGAAATGGATGGGTGAAAAGGTTTATGCGTATCTTCTTGATGGGTGGAAAACGGAAGAATTCAAAAAGGTCTCTTGACAAAATAAGCCTAATCGAGCATCAACCAAAGAGGGGGCTGTCCATACCATGGGACGTAGAGCTCATCATGGTGTTGCTATAGAATTGGTGTGCATTCTATTTGTAATTTCAACGTGTCAACATATTTATATCTGATACTCATCATAACCATATATATGTTGTCTTTATTTATAGGAGAAAAAGTTGAGCTGACCACCAAATCCGGACGAGCTCTTCATGGTCACCCATAAAAATAAGAATGGGCAGTGGGTTGATCGTCGTGCAGAAAATACACATGTAAGACCTTTTTTATGCCTTAACTTAATTTCATATCTGTGTCTAGTTTTTTCATACTGCATTTATGCTTCCATATTGCTTCCATACTGCACCAGTGTATTCATGAGATTGTAATTGAGTGCTTAATGGAATTTATCCTTCTAAGTTGTTGAAAAACAAGTTCGTGTAATTAAGAAACTTCAAATTTGAAATGGTGTCACTGAAACTGAAGGATACCATTAAGCAGTGGGAAACAAGTGGAAGAATCACATTGAGGGTGGGAAAATGTATTGGTTTTGAAAGAAATTACACATGCTCTAACCTACCATCAGGTCCCCGAGTATGCCTCTAGATGGAATAAAAAATCAATTAGATAGGGTAAGAACTGATCTGTATAAGGCATAAGAAGATAGTGAAAATTGAGGAAGTGATGAGATGCAATGAGGAAGTGATTAAATGGAGCACTTTAGAAGAAACTGATCTAAGCCAAAGGCTAAAATTGACTGGCTAAAGCGCATAGATGGAAATAACACATATTTTCCTCTTTGAAGTCCAAACTGAAGCAAACTTCCATTAAAACCCTCACTAAAAGTGATGGGACAATGTTGACTGATATAAAAGATATTGAAAATGAAGTGTTGGATTACTTTGGCCACTTGCTGGGAAAGCTGAGAGTAACATGAAGGGCATTGATATTGTAGAAATGAGGGAAAGAAAACAATTTTGTAATGTTGATAATCTTGATCTCATTGTACCAGTATCATAAACAGAATTCTACAAGTCCATAAAAGGCATCGGGGACCTGAAAAGCCCTGGTTTAGATGTTTATGGAGCCATGTTTTTTAAGTTTACTTGGAGCATTGTGAAGCCTGGTGTGGTTGCAACAGTCAAAGAATTTTTTGAGGTTGGAAAGATATACAACACCGTCAGCAATGCACTGATTACCCTGATTCCTAAGTCCACAATAGCAAAAACCATAAATGACTATAGGTCTATATCATGTTTCTCTACAATCTACAAAATCATTTAAAAGGTGATTACCAACAGATTAAGTAAGGTATTGTAGAATATAATAGGAGGTTTGAAATAGGAGGTTTGAATACTAATAGTAAATCCTGAAAACTACCTTGACCAATGTTGTTTGGAATGAACATTGTTAGATTATTTCCTGTAGTGTAACAAGAAGCTTATAAAATAGTAAAATCAAAGATGAGTACTTGTATAACTTTATGAACTGCTACAAGAAGCTTATTGTCTTATTGTTTCAATTATCATATATCTAAGTGTACTTGTATAATCAAATATGAGTACTTGTATAACTTTATGAACTGCTACATAACTGCTATAATTATCATATATCTTATTGTTTCAGGAAACTTATTGGAATGTCCTAATTATTATATTGTATTGTACATGATGATTATGTGAATCGTCTAACACAAGCCACCCAAAATGATAATAATTTGGATGGGTCGAAAAAGCTACAATTATGGAAAGAAGCTGTCAACGGTAAGTCACGAGGCCGGTGTTATGGAACTGCCCGAATGTAGTTAACATATAATATGGAGTGTCTTACTTGACACAAGTGACCATTTCAAACTCGAATAGAGAAGTGGAGAGCCAATACATTGAGATGGCTAGAGTAGAGGCTTATAGAGCACGTGAAGAGGCTGCATTAGCTAATGCGCGTGCAAACGAAACAAATGTGAATGCAAGAGAAGCTATGGCTGAGATAGCAAAGTTGAAAAGGAAGTTTGAAGAATTTCAGAAACAACTGTTTGTTTGGCAGTCGGGTCAGGAGGGTACTTTCATTATTCCTTCTAGTGTCCATCCTAGTGCTAGTGATCATTATGATGATGACTTTGATGGTCAGTCATTGGATCTAGAGGGAATGAGTGATGGATGTTGACATTGTCTTTTTCTTAGTTTTAGAACTTATTTGTGGATTTTCACTAGTTTGATATTTCGTGTTGGTATTTTGATGTAAGTTTGACATCTTTATGTAACAATATTGTGGATGAGAACTAGTTTGATATATTGTGTCAATATTTTGATGCAACTGTGACATGTTAATTAATGTAGCAATATCGTAGATTTTTGGAAGTTTGTTATCTTGTGTTGAGGTTTTTGTGATAATATATCAATGAATAGTTTTAATTACAAAAACAGGTTTAAATTTCAAGTAGAATTAATTTAGATTTAAATAGGTATATATAATATAAAACAGAACTGCCAGAGTAAATAAACTATAGCATCAGCTAAAATCAACACTTCTAAATAGCATAATAGACTGTTAGCGTCGACTTTGAGCTACGCTACATTGCACGACTTTAGCTATGTAGTGTTCTTTATGACCTACGTTGGACCTTAGAAATAGTGGCCCACATAATCGACGCTAATACATTGAAGATAATATTTAAGTGACCCAATAAATTGACGCTATTTGGGAAAAAATATTATAGAGGCCTTATAAACCGCCACTAAATAAATGTTAGCGTCGACAACAACCGACGCTAAATGAAAAAAATTCTATAATGTAGCGTCGGTTTTGATAAGATATCATCCCATTAGCGTTTCCATAGTCGACGCTACATGTAGCGAAGGCTGGCTGTTATGGTTTGCTTCCACCTTTAGAATGTTCATCCTGACCCCGACACTAAGTCGATACTAAAGGCATTTAGCGTCGGTTTTTTACTTGTTAACGATGGTTTTTGGCCGATGCTAAAACACAAGTTTCTTGTAGTGTTAGTGCATCATTTATTTCTTTATAAAAGATAACGAAAGCATATGATACCAACACAAATATTTTAGCAAAACTTATGGGAGTCAGGAAACACCATCTCGTTGGAGTATACTTTTGAAATAATCTCTGTTTCAATTAGGACTTTTGAGGGTTGTAACATGGTCTGGTTCACGGTTTTAGAAAAAATATTTTAAGGCTCAAAATATTTGGTGCCCACCCCCTTCATGATGTTCTTTAGTCCTATATTCAGTTAATTTGACACGAGCACTCATATCCCGAGAGGATTTAGCTGATGGTTGAGGAACCATTAATATTCTTTGGATACGACAATCACTCACTCTTGAATTTTGTCACACGACTCTGTTCTTTGTTGAGGATTTTATGTTGTAATCCTTTCTCGCCTTTCAAGCTTTCCATTTCTTCATTGCTTTCCCTAAATTTTTCCTGAACTAATTCTTTTGAATTGATAGTCTAGCGGGATGCCCTAACTTTTGCCTAAGCGACTTGTTTTTTCAAGTTTTGACTTATTAGCGGGGCTTCTTGTCTCTTTCTTTTTTTTTAAATAATTTTTTATTCATTTTGTTTTTTCTTTCCTTTTGAACACGTCGTGTAACTTCGAGTCGTATGTGACTTGTTGGAAGAATTGTGACTGCCTGATTTCTTGGTAGATGAGGGATAGCCATTATTGTATCCTTATTTGTTAACCACTTGATGTGCGTGAGATACCCATTTGGATATCGTCTTGTTTCTATGCACACTACTGATAGGAGAAGATTGACCATTGCGATTTTGACTTTCCTCAACCTTTTGAAGGATAATCATTGTTGTATCCTTAGACGCGCACTCTTGGTGAGATTTGAATACTCAATCAGATTAACTGAACACTATCCTGCCCCGGGTTAAAAATGAGGGTTTTTTCTGAACAAAAACAAACTCCCACTTCAAGGCTCAAAGGGGTTAACAAAGGTTTCACTCCCTTATATCTCTGATGTTTGGGAATTTGAAACAATGCCTGTACATCATCAACAGGGTTTTATCCAAAAGCATACAATCAGAAATCTTGCGTTTTAAATTCATCATCCTCCCTCCAATATTTGGCTAGGCAAAATAATGGATAACAAGTTGGTATCATAATGCAAAAAGTAATTTTAAAATTGAAACAAATATGAGTGAAACAAATGGATTTCTTCAAGACAGGCATACTAATTGTATTAAGATAATAATTCAAATGCAAACAAGTTCTTACATGTAATCAGCGCAAGAAAAATTAAAAATGAGAAAGCAGTAAAATTGCTAGTAAACTGAGAAGGCTAATCATCCTCAAACTCTAGGGTATCCTTCAATCAAGTTCTCCAAAGTTCATACATGCTTGAGCAGTGGGTTAACATCATTGAAGGATAAGATACCACTTTTTGTCAACTTTTGTACTTCTATTTTCAATGGAAAATAATTCTCAATGTCATGCCCCGGGGAGCCTTGGTGAAAATCACAGAAAGCATCGACCTCATACCACCAAGGAATTACTCTTGGGATAGCTGGCGGTGATCTTGTCTGAACCAAGTTCTTCTGTAACAAATCAAGTAATAATTAGCATACGTTATAGGAATTGGGTCAAACTGATCCTTCTTCCGCATATGACTTTGTTGATTATGCTGACAAACTGGAGCAACATGGGGTAAATTGAACACAGGGATGACATGAGAAACATGTTGATTCTAACGATGATTATTTCTTCCCCTGGTTCTCTTCTTGGAAAAGTTATTATCAAACTTCTTCACACCATTAGCTGAGCCACCATCTTCAGATAAACATCCCTTTCAGACATCCTCTTCTAGAAGCACTCTCACATTCACTTTTTCAGGGAAATCACTAGGTGCATTGACTATCACCTTCTCATGAAAGAATGGTTTCAAAATGTTTGTGAAGACCTTTTCTATCTCTTCTTCCTTCGTAGAAGGATTGACTTGGGCAGCAACCAAATTTTCAACCAAAGCAGTTAGATACTCCATACCAGCCTTCAAAGTAGTTACCTCTTTTCAGATTTCAAAAATAACTTTCTTGATATTTCCCATCTTTCTCTTAGCGCGAGTGTTATACTGGTGAGACTAAAGGAACAAACAGGGCTTAGAAATGAATTTTGAAAATGAAACAAAAAATGTAGACTGATGCATGATATGTAAGTGCAAAAGAGAGTTTTTATTTGACTTTTCAAGGAACTCAAGATATTAAGTTGTAAACATCAAAGTATGAAGATAGAAAAATGAATTCTAAATTGGATCTAAACGTTGATCAAGTTATTATCAAGATCAATCATCCATTTTGGTGGATTAGAGTTATCACCCTATAAACACCCAAGATCCATTGAGTTTGACGAAACTTATGATGTTTACAAAGAAAGACCCCAAAATTCCTTGAAAATCAAGTGAAAAAGAGTTTCATGAATGCATGAAGGAATGGTTATGCAACAATCACAAGCAAGGTCACAAACAAAGTTGAAAGCTTCGACGTCACGAGCATGGAGTCAAAGGGTGAGAATCAACCCACAAGGTATGTACTAAGGGCTTATCACCTGCTGAACAAGGTTCTAAAAGGTTCCCAGAGTCTACGCTCTTCCTTTGGATATTACCAACATCCCAATTACTTGGTAATTAGTAATATTCGTGGGAAAAACTCGTCTGAGTGCAGCATCGCGTGACAACTACTTTCGGATTACTCAGTCATAGTCTCGGAACTACATCTAAAAGGCGAAGATGGGTTAAGGGTTATACGGCTCTCAGCTTCTCTGGCTCCCAGGTCGAAAGAAGAATGTCTTCCCAATTACTTGGTAAACAATTCTACATTCAAGGGGACCTCCACTGCGTGGGGGATTTCATGTCTCCTTCTTCAGGATTACTCCCTCAAATTTAACATGACTATACCGCCTGTCCTATCCTAACTGTACCTTAGTTCGGGTATAGGACCTGTCCTTAACACCCAAAGAAACCACAAAATAACACATATAAGCACACAAGAAATTATAACGAAAACAAATATAACAAATTAGGTTTAACCCACTTAGAGTATTGTTTTAAAACTCCCCAGCAGATTCGCCAATTCTGTAGCGGTGAAAATCGGAAATCAAGCTATTAAATAACTTGACTCGCAAATAAGCAAGAGTCACCACCGCGCTTTATTATTTCCAAGTGAAAAGGGAAAAGAGCGAAATAAAACCCTTAAATATGCAATGTAAAGTAATACTTAAAAGTAATGAAAATAAAATGTGTTTTTGAAAGAGATCGAAGGTTCGGGGGTTGGTTATACAAAGGGAACGTACTAGCACCCTATGTATCTATAGTATCCTATAGGAACCTTTTGAAATATCTATTTTTGGTTAAAATTGGTTTGCTTGCTAAATGAGTGTGGGGATGAGATTTTGAAAATGCGATGACCTAGTGTCGAAGTTTTTGGTTCAAAAGAGGTGCGAGTTTTTTAAAATTAGGGTTTAGAAGAGATTTGTTTTTAGATCAATAAAACTAAAAATATGTATAAAGGGGTTTTTTCACAATCATATTAAATATATTCGATGACATGAAGTCAATGGATTCGATTTTTCCTTTGGAGTTAGACAAACAAAATATAAAGACTAAATGATCGACAAAGGGAAATTAAATAAATAGCAATTAAATAACTAAATAATTAACAACCAAAAATTTAATAAAATAAAGAAAGGCAAAATTATACTAATATATATTTTTGGTATTTTTTAAAGAGGGCAAGAAAGAAATAATTATAATCCTAATCTAATAGTTTTTTTTGTAATTTTTGTATAGATTTTTAAATGAAAATAAGACAAAAGACTTAAAAATTTAGAAATAAAAAATAAATTGAGCAGAGAGAAGATAAATGCTCAAGTGAGCAAAGAAAAAATGCATAAAGTAAAGAAAATAAAATGTTATGGATGACAAATGACATAAAAGTAAAAAGAAGAAAATATAAAGTGCAGAAATATAAATGATATTAAAGTAAAGTTAGTACAATATAAAGTTAATAATCTAATTTGGGATAAGTGTAACTTCATATAGAGCATAAAATGTATCTACCCATACATGTTAGAGAAATGACACTTTGAAGTTCATTCTATTATACATGTAGTACAATTAACAAACATGGAGGATCAAGACAAAGTC